AGCTGCCACCAGGGAGCCCACTGGGTTTGCAGCCTTAGCATGTACTTAAGGACCATGGACAGCGCTTGGGGAAGCCGGGTACTGCTATCAACAGAATCCACCTGGAAGCAGGTGTGTCCTGGGGCATGCTTGGCTTCCACACAGCAGGCATTTGTTGAGCGCTAGTTTCATACCCCACCCATGACAGATGTTATGGGAAATAACAGAGGGAAAGACACTTGACTGTTACTCCCGCCCAAGGAACTTACAGTGCTGATAGGAAATTGGTTGCCCTGCCACCTGGCTCGTGGCAGGCTGCCAGGACAATGTTTACAAACCAGAAATATGACCATATTGCTCCCTGAAAAGGCCCATGGCACCCCTCCCCATTGCTTATATGGTAAACTCCAATCCATTTAGCATGACATTCAAGGCCCAGCCACTCTTCTGCCCCGTCTACTCCACACTCCTGCCTCACTTCACTTCCATCCATTCCCAGACATGCCACGTTTTTCACTTCCCCTCCCCCTCATTTAGAAAGTGTTTCTGCTCTTCCCAGAGAACTCCTGCAGAGCCTTGAAAACTCAAATACTTCCCCCTGGAGCAAGTAAGTCACGCGTCCAGCTTCTGCCCTCCCAGGGCTGTCCACACCTGTGCCCCCAGCGTCGCTGAGCCACCTGACCCACATCAGACAGAGCTGTCAGGGTTAGACCAGGAGTGGCAGTCGCCAGGTGCAGGGGCCTCCTCAACTGTGGCTGGTCAACCGCGAGGCGTGACACTCATGTTTGATGACTTCCGATTTACTTAGAAGCTTAAAAATAATACCAGAGATGTGCTTTTCATGCCACTTTCTCATTCTAGAAAGCTGTCTGCCTTATCTTTGGGAAAAGAGGGCACTATTTATTATATAGGCCATATATCCAACAATTCCTAGATATGGTTAAATAAAGCATGGCCCCTAGTGGCTCCGAGATGTGAAGCTCAGCCCTGTTCCTGCCACCTCCAAGCCCCTGCTCTGTCCTTACAGCCTGCAATGGCCAGCAAGAATCCACTTCAGCAAGACCTGATAAAGGCTGAAGCTTGACCCAAGCCTTGGAAATAGGGGTTGGGAAGAATCAAAGTGGGAGTGCTCCCCGATCCAAGACAGACATGGAACAGTGAGCCAGGCCAACGAGCCCCAGACTGTGCGTGGTAACCGTGACACGGCTCACTGGCCAAAGGCAGACACGCTGGAGGAGGACAGCTGAGGCTGCATCACTTACCACAACTTCATGGGCATTGTTTCCTCACAAGAAGGGTCCCTATCAAAAAGGGAGATGAGATCCATCTCCTCCATGAATGTGCTGACCATCTGAAGGTGATGACATAAAGCTGGGAACATGACATGAACATGAGGTGGGTGGGGGATTCACCAGAGACAGAGTGGGGAGCAGAACAGGCAGATGGACTGAAACACACTGCTGAGGGGAGCAGCGGGCAAAACAGGAGAGGTCTGTTGCGCCATGTGAGTCAGCTCCCTGGCCATGGATCGAACTCATGCTGTAGTAGCTGGCCATAGATAGCCTCATAGTGCTGACTTTAACCCCTGCACCACCAGGGAGGCCTGTGAAGAATTTTAAGTTTAGATTCATCTACTATAATGATACTCAGCTTCAACTATTAATCAAGTTCCATCTCATTTCCTCCATTCTGGCACCCAAACCTCCTTTATTTTTAAACCAACCCAGACATTCTATCACTTCACCTACAAATGTTTCAGCCAGTTTAAAGGTGCGGGCCCTTTCTGAAAAACAAAGTCTGGGGCCACTATAATAACTAAGAATATTGATGACTGCGTTACAACAAATACTTCATGTTCAAGTTTCTACTTGTCTCAAAATGAGTTTTGTCTGAATCAAAGGCACACATCACTAAGACAGCATGTCTTTTATCTATAAATCTCCTGCCATCTCTCTTTCTGTCCTTATAATTTATTAAGTATTAAATCCACAGTGTGGATCTTGTCATGGGGTCAATATCTTTATCTGTCAAATGGGTGTCATTATTCGCTCCGAGAATTCATTGAGAGGGTATTTACGAGTGGGCGCTGACAATTGGAAGCACCCCACGAATGCCATGTGCTCATGGACCTTCTGAGTCTTTGCATCCTTTGCAGCTTGTTTCTGATGAGGACACGGAGGTTCAGAACAGCTTCCAAACCTGTCTGTGCTCATAACAGGCTGAGAAAACAGTAGGGTAGAACTGGAGGGACGCTGACCTCAGGCAGAGATGGCTGGAATGCCACGGTGGTGCACTCCAGGGAAACCTAGGCTTCTGCTGCCTGAGATCAGCCAGGAGGCAGGAACTGCACGAGGCTCAGATGAGACTACAAAGCCCCTCGCTCGTTCCCTGCCCAGGCCCCTCCCGCCCAGCGTCTGGGTAAGGCCCACGATCTGGCAGTGGTAAACCTGGGCCCCGGTCTGCCCTGCCCACCCTCAGGCTGGCAGTCAGCAGCCGAGTACACTCTGTTCCGGGACAGCTTGGGCAGACGCTGTGACCTCCCGGGCTGTGGAAAACAACAAGCTACTCTCTCTCCTTCCCTCTGTTCTGTTGCTCATCCCCAGGCCAAGGGGCCCAGAGAGAAATGACCGACTCCCAGCAGTGTCCAGTCCCAGCAATGCCCAGTCCCTCTGAGCAGTCCGACTGTCTGAGTTTTAGTCCCGAGACTAAGTCACAGTTCACATCGGAGCTTGACACCAGCACTCCGATTGCTACCAGACTGTCGTTCGTTCCTGCTCAGGCAGCAGGCTGGGCCCTGCAAACAGTGGTAACAGTAATAGTAAGCAAACACAGCCCACGCTGTAAAGTACCTCCTGTGTGCACCCAGCTCCAGGCGCTGTGCAGGAGGCAGGCACCCACTCTGCCCCTTTCACAGCGAGGAAACTGAACACTGAGAGTGTGACAAGTCCCCCAAGGGCGCTCATCCGAGGTCAGTGGCAGAGCTGGGATATGAAGGCCGACACGACGGAGGGCGGGATTCAAGACCTGCTCTTGCCGTCACCTATGCCAAGCTGCCTGCTTGCTGCTTTCAATTACAGGCACACCTCATTGTCTTGCGAGCCACTTTATTGCACTTCAGATATTGCACTTTTTACAAATTGAAGGTTTGTGACAACCCTGCTTCCAGTAAGTGTATCAGCACCATTTCCCCACCATGTTATTAACATTTCTTAGCAATAAAGCACTTTCAAATGAAGGTATGTACATTTACTTTTTTAGACACGATGCTATTGCACATTAATAGACTACAGTATAATATAAACAGTTTTATATGCACTGGGAAACCAAAAAGCTCACGATTCACTGGATTGAGAAACTGGCTTTATTGCAGTGGTCTGGAACCGAAACCCCAATATCTCTGAGGTGTGCCTGTTTCGTCCCATTTAATCCACTCCACAGCCTTGTATGTGAGGAAGCCAAGCCTCACAGAGGTAGAACTAGGTCCCAAGGGCACACAGCTCCCTCATCTCCAGCGACACTTTCCCTGCTCTGCCAAGCTGACACTAACAGGTGGAAGCAGATCTCTAGACGCCAGCGGAGAAGGGGGCGGGGGTCTTCAGGAAGGTGGGACACCGACTGGCTATGGGAACTCAGCAGAGGGTAGAAGTCTCTTCCTAAAGTTTCCTGAAGAGGGTCCATGGCATGCGCTGGGCCTTGAACATGGAATGACACCAAGACAGACTCAGCCCCTGCCCAGCACAGCAGCTTCTAAGAGGCCCAGCCCTCAGCATCTGTTCATCCGCTGCTGAGATGGCAGGGCTGACTGCTTCACCCCGTCTTCCAGCTGAGTGGGCCAAGGCTCAGGGGACACATAACACACAGGCCCACGCCTTGGGGCCTGTCCCTGATCTGTCTAGCGGAGAGGAGGATACCTGGGGGGTCGGAGGTGCCAATTTGAGGAAAGATCCTCCCACCAGACTATTGTCATCCGTTACCACTCCGACTACTGTCTAGCTCCCCAGTGGACTCTAATAAGCACCCTGTGGGCAGGCCCTGGGTCTATCTTGGTGGGCTCTGGTTTCCCAGTTCCTGGCAGAACGGGTGTGTGAGCTCATAGAGGGAAGAGGGGCAGGGCTTGCACCAAATCCTGAGATCTTAGACTCCGACCCGGCCCAGAACCATCAGGGCCCTGCCTGCCAACCATACCCCAAAGGGAGCAGTTTTGAGGTCTGAGATCACACTTGTGCCTTGGGGTTTCCCTACGTGCCCCAGAGATAAATGAGGGCGACCCAAGGAGATTCCTAGGTTTTCCAGCTGACTTAGGAGCTGCCATAAGCAGAGGGCCCATGGCCACCGGGACACGTCCATTCCACCACCGGTGTGCAAGCAGGGCCCGAGGGTGGGTTTCCACATGAAGCCAGGGTCTCGGGCCTCCCAGTCCTATGGACCCTGCCACTCCGGTGTCCACTCTGTTCTGACACGGCCAGGGAAGCGCCTGCGAGCTGAAGCTGACCATGCCGGGGCGCTCTTCCTCAGCCATCCTCGCCAGGCTCCACTGAGGGCATGACGTCGTTATTCCACCTTCTAGGTGAGGAAAGTGAGGCTCACGGAGGCCAAGTGGCTTCTCCAGAGTCCATGCCTGGAACCGCCTCCCGGGTTTGCACTCAAGCCCATCAGACGCCACAGCCATCCTGCCTCGGCCCCCTTCCAGGGCTCTGCGGGCCCAGGTTCTCGCTGTGGCCGGAAACCAGAGCCCGTCCCCTGGGAGTGGACCACAGGGCTCCCAGCGCCACCGCAGCCGGCCCCTGCCCGACCGCAGTGCCTGCCCGGCCCTGCCGCAAGCAGCAACGTGATTTCCCGAACTTTCTCCACCACGGCAGGCAGCGTTTACCATAATGGCCCCCTTGAGGGGTTGCTGGTCAATTTTCCCGGCTTGGTTCTCTATTTATTTTAAAAGGGAAGGTGGCTGAGGCCCAAAGGGGACTGTGGGCCACCCCCACCCCCATGACCTCCACGTTCATCTCATACTCTGGCCACAGTGCATCATTTCAGCTTAATTTTATTTCCTCTTATAAATGGGCACAGCACGGGAAGTGTTAAAAAACAAAAACAAAACAAAACGAACAGAAACCCAAACAGTTCCTTCACAAGGCTGGGACAGGTGAGGACCCGCGAGGGGCAGGTGCCTCAGTTGCTTTTTCCAGTCTTTTTCCTCCGCTTTTTCTTATTCAAAGTTTTGGCCATGAACTCAGGACAGGTGTGGTTAATAAACAGGTTGGGGTGGGGGGAGGACAGGGAAGACCCAGGGGAGGGAAGGACAAGCGCCCACCCCCACCAGGCCAGGTTCTCGGGGAAGTGGGGGGGGCGGGGGCGGGGGTCTGTACAGGAGAAAGGACACACAGGAGGGACACTGTCTTCGGGGGCTCTCTGGAGCCGCGCTGCCTACGGAATATTTACATGCATTCGCCACGCTGGGGCTGCCACACCGAGCCATCGGGGGCGCCTGGAGTGCTGGGGTCATCAGCCCTTAGATGGCGACTCCTGACCCAGTCTTGGCGTCTCTGTAAATCTGTACACAGTTTGTGGGCTTCTATTTACAGGCAGGAGGCCTGAGAAGGCAAATCCAGGCTGGCAGCTGTCTATCAGAAGTTCAGGAGAGCCAAGGAGGAGGCAGCCACCCCCGCCCCAGAGGCAGAGGGGTCTGCCCCACACCCAGGCCCCAGCCTAGGGGTCTGGAGAGGTGGCTTTGCCAACCCCAGGGAGTCCGGCCCCAGCATCCCGAGCCACTGCCCGCAGACTCCCCAGCCGGCCCCAATGCCACCTATCGCCTCCACAATCAAGGTGACCAGCCTTTCAGGAGAGGCAGCCCTTGTGGTCCCCACGGAGACAAAGCCCGGGCTCTGGAAATCCCAGCTAGGGGGTGGGCGAGCCCCCAACTCCCTAAGAGGTACTCAAGCCACACGGGCTCCCTCTCCTTTGGAATCGGCTGCACCCAATGTACCTAGGAGCTCCAGCTCCTTTTAACCAACCTCTCGTGGGGAGTGTGGCCGGCAAGGGTGGGTTTGGGCTGATAAATTTCATCAGGCTAAACCCTGCACATTTGGCTGGAGTCCAGGGCTCTATGATGGTCACACCGGGCCTCTTCTAATGATACCGAGAAGAGACAAAGTCCCAAGCCCTGAGCCAACTCTCAGGCTGTGAGAGGCTGGGCCTGCTGGGGCCAGGCTGGGGCACACAGGCCTTCCCAGCCCTCACCGCCTGCCTAAACCCGGACCTGTGCCAGCCTGGACTCCGCCCCCACTCCAAGCTCCAGTCCCAGGTAGGGGCACCCCTTTGGGACTGCACACAGAGGCTGCACCCACTGCAGGGGCTCCCACACAGCCCAGCTTCCTTGGGGACCCACACCCCATCTCCTCCATGCTCTGGTTTCTCAGCCTTGGTCTGCCCAGGCCTCCTCACCAGAGCTGCTGCCCCAGACAGCAGCCGCCCGGGGCAGGTAGAGGGAGGCTGGGACTTTCGCCTTCTCCACCCTTGTGCCCCCGTCTGCTCCAGGGGTGCAGGTGAGGGCACATCCCCACTGGGGCCATGGTGCCTCTCCCCCACGCCCACCCTCTCAACAGCTGGGCTAGACCTGTTCGGCTCCTCCAAGCCCCCAGGCCCTGCGGAGGGGCCCTTTGGGGTCTGAAAAATGCCCCAGCCTAGAGGCAGGATGGTGGGAAGAGCAGGCTGTGGGAGGCTCCTGGCAGCCTTGCTCGGGCACCGCCATCCCTCACCCTGCAGAAGTCTGTTGCCAGGAAGTCTTGAAAGGGAACAGAAAAAAAAAAAAAATAACAAAAAAGCAGGTTCCTGATTGTACTGGGGTTGTGGGTAAGGGGTAAGGGTGTAAGCACCAGCCAACCACAACTCAGACCACATTCCTTGGCTACAAGAACCCCCAACAAACATAACCTCCCCCAAAGGAGATCTGTGACCCCCACACTTAAAATATCTATGGAAGTGGCCCCACTTACAAGGGTAACAAAGGGAGAGGAGGGCTGGGGCCTGTGCACCCCCACCCCACCTCCAGCTCAGCCCTGGGCCTGGGCTGGCACCTGGTGGGTGCTTCCAGCGACAGGGCCACCCAGCCGCAGCCAAGAGACCCGCCAGGTTGTTTGGCCACACCAGCAGGCAGGGGTTCACAGGGAGGGCCTGGGAGAACCCAGGGTGGGCTGAGGTGGGCCTGGCAAGGCCGGTGGGAGAGGGTGCAGAGGGCCCGGCCGCAGGGCCCACCCTCGCAGGCACTTTGGAGACGTGTCCTGGGAGGCAGTTGGCCCCTAGCGCAGAGCAGGAGGGGGGTGGGGTCCGGGAGCCCCACGGTGTGCCACTCCCCACCCAGCCCACTGGCCCTGGGAGCCCCAAGCCCCCACATCCCGGGGCCCAGCTCCAGAAGCAGCCTGCTTTTCTCAGCAAGGCTCCCAGCTAGAGGGGGGCTGGCCCCGACTTAAGCCCTTGATGGGCTACAGAGGGCAGGGAGCGGGCAGGGAGCAGGCAGGGAGCCGGCGCGAGTGGTGTGCAGAGCCCTGAGGGCTGTGGCAATGCCCCACCACACCACCCCTCCTCCAGGATGAGGGCAGCACCCCGCGGGAGGGGGCTGGCACAGCGGATGGGGTGGTGTAGTTGGTGTGAGTGTTGTGGCGAGGGGCTGAGTGTGACCGGGCAACTCGGGACCCAATATGGGCTGATTGTTCCCGCTCTATCTGACCCTCCCCAGTGAGACTGGAAGCTGGAGGCCAGAGTGGTGCCAAGGTGTGGGAGGGTGGGGAGGGGGGACAGGCAGGTCACACCGCCACTGGGTGACGGTGAGTTGCATTGTCATAGTGTCTGGGGTGTGTGAGAAGTACATGGGAGTAACCATCTTTGGAAGAATGCGTGTGTCCAACATGTCTTCATTGGCTGGGTGGGCGGGATTGTGTATGGTTTTGTCACTGCGTGCTTCTGTCTTTGTGGGTGACCTCATGGGACATGGTGTCTATACAGAGTCCACTAGCAAGAGGGAGGGCACAGCAACCATTCCCCCTTACCAGTGGCCAGAGCACCCAGGAAGCCAATTCCTCAGGGGCAGATTGGAAAAGAGGTGACTGTGCATGGGGGGCAGGGGGTGGTTGGAGAATGAACCCACAACCCTGGGGAGACCAGGGCAGAGCAGGCTGGTGACAAGGAGTACCATCTCACTCGGGCAGAAGCCCTGAGCAGGAGCGAGCAGTGCCGATGATTTCAAGGGCTGAGCTTGCCAAATGCTTGTCCGAGAAATCAGCTGAGTGCCTCTCTGTTCCCCAAAGGGGACCACAGTCAGCCCAGCAGCCACCAGGTTGGGCCTCCAGCCTCAGCCCCAGCCCTCCTTCCGGCAGCCAATCAGGAGCTTCCTTCCTCCTGCACTGAGTGAGGTCCTGAAGCCCCAGGCTGCTGGGGGCACAGGGAGGGGCCGGGAGAGGGAGGAAGGGGTGAGATGAGCTCTTAAGGGCACAGCCTGGGCAGACCTTGCGAGGGTGGACAGAGATGAACTGGGGCCAGGCTCCCTCTTAGACCCAGTCCCAAGCCAGGGCTGGTGGGGCCGTCCCGGCCGGGGACTGGGCAGAAGGGCGGTGCTGCAGCTACGGGGAGGCACTGTGGCTCCACTAGGCATAGAACTCCTCCTGCTTGTCAGGCTTCTGGTACGTGACGCTTGCTTGCTTGGGCTCTTCCAGCGTGTAGCTGCCCTCATCCTTCTTCTTCATGCGGTAGATGAGCAGTGTGATCAGGAAGGCGGCAAAGAGGGCGCCCACCACCCCGCCCACAATCACAGCTGTGGGAGAAGAGGGCAGCGGTCACAGGCCAGAGGGAGGTGAGTTCAGAGCCTCGTCAGAGGCTGGTAAAGAGCCCTGGGCGGGGGGCGGCGAGAGGCCCGAGGGCTGAGAGTCCATTCTAACACCACCAGCGCTGCTGCCACTACGGGTCCTGCTGCCGCCTGGCCCCCTTCCGACCCCCACACGAACTCATCAGATGCTCATGCGGCACAGCAAAGGACAAGCCACCTACGGTCCCCGTCAAAGGGAGGTGGCCGCCAGCCAGCAGCTGGTCCAGTGTTTTCTACACCATTAGAAAAGCCTGTCGACTAAATTACAACACATCCCAACTACAGCAGAGTTAACAGATGTGCAGCGAGAACTGATTACGTACAAAATGGGTGTCCCCCTCCTACAGGTGAGGAAAAGGGAGGGAGAGAGCGTGGCTTGGCCCAAGATGCGCAGATCCTAAGTGGGGAGCAGCGTCTGGACTGTGAGTCCAGGCACTCTTCAGGGAAAGTGGCCAGGGCAGGTCTTCACGGGCTGAGGTCAAGGCCGGGGATAGGTCAAGCCAAAGGATGGGGTCAGAGATGAGGATCCAGGGTATGAGATCCAGAAGGGGTCAATGAAAGTGACCAGAAATCAAGGTCACAGTCTAAGGAGGGGTCAGAGGGCACCAAGGAAAGTGCTGAAGTGGAAACTGAATCAGGGTCAGTCCTGGGATGGGGGAAGGAGCAGCATGAGGTGGGTCCCCAGGGCGAGTTCCCAGCTTTCCCTCCCCAGGAAACCCACCCCTGGACCTCCCTTCTGCCACGCAGCTGCCTCCCTGGGGACCCTCCCAGATGTCCTGGGCCCGGACCCGAGTCTCACCTACGAGCACCTCCTTCCGCTCCAGGATGCTCTTCTGAGGCAGCTGAGCAGCCGAGCTGCCTGAGTCGATGGCATTGTCGAGCAGGCCGGGGCCTGGGGGGGCCCCCTTGGGCAGCCTTCCGGGTGGAGGTGAGGGCTCGGCTGCGGCCCCTCCCACAGCCACCACCTCGTTGGCTGTGTCTGGCTGTGTGGTTTCTTCCTCCGGTAGCTCAAAGTCCCCACTGGGCCCCCCACTCACTGGCGCCTCCGGCTCATCCCGGAATGTGGTCAGGAAGGACTCTGGAGTTGGAGTCTGAAAGGAGGGTCGCGTGAGCCCCGCAGCCAGGTCCCGGCAGCCTCCGTCTCACGGCAGCCCACCCACTCCCCACGCCCGTGCCCAGGGGAAGGCTGTTCACCATGCACATACTCGAGCGGGGCACTGTACTAGGCGCAATTTGTATATTTTACCTCTCCGGGAAGGAGGCACTGTCACCCCCAATTTCCAGAGTAGGACAGGGGCTGGGGCATGAAGTGACTTCCCCACGAATACACCGCTGGCAATTAGTAGAAGCTAGACCAAAACTCGGATTATCCCACTTCACGCTCTGTATTTCGAACCGATCCTACACCGCCCACTAGGCTGGTCAGATCCTGTCTGCGCCCTGTGTCTAGCCTTGCCGCTCCAGCTGACCCATTAATAAGCCTTGGGGGTTCCTCCTGAGAAGCCATTTCGGGGCACCGGGTCCCTGTCCACCTGCCAGGGGCAGAGGTGAGCCCCTTAGCCTGGAGGACGTCCCAAGAACACCTCTTGGGGGCTGGTGTCCAGGGCAGGGCCAGAGCTGGGATCAGGGCAGAGGCATAGCTGCTTCCTGGGTGGGCCTGCTATTGGACAGAGAAGAGGCCTGTACAGAACACCAGAAATCTGGGCTCCAGGTCCCACCCCTGTTTGCCTTCCCGCCTGGCCAAGTTCTGTAGATGACCAGGCGATGCTGCTATCTGCTCAGCAGAGCAAGGCAGGGCCTGCTGGAGCTGACCAGGGACAGGAGAAGCCGCGCCTGGCCCGAGGCAGTCCACGGCCGAGGGTCCTCCTCTGTGAGTGTCAGCAAGGGCCTCACTCCCCAGTCGATGTCGCCATGGGCCCTCCTTACCCACTGTACCCAGCTTTTCCTTGACCATCCATCCCTGTCATGCCTGAGCTCTCCAGCCAGGTCCCTTCAACCCCTGCCCCCATCCACAATTCCCAGTCATACTCTGGCCTCTGGAGCCACTGCTGGTTTCAAGTCCTGACCATGGCTGACTGCTGCGGGCTGCTAAGACTTGGGGGAGTGGCCCCCTCTGTAAAAGGAGAATGACAGCGTCACCCCTGGGGTGGCCATGAGGCTGAGAGGTGGCACAGGTATGGTGCTTTGCTCCGAGCCACCCAGGAAGCCCATCGCAAGGGTGAGCTAAAGGTCCTTCCCCATAGCCCAGCTCTCAGTAACGGGCCAGTGAAAATAACGGCCACCACGATGATGACAGTAACAATACTGAAACTTTTGAGTTTGTGACCACTAGGCACTGTTCTAAACACCTGGCAGGTCAGGAGACTAATCCTCACAACACGAGGACTCGCTGCCTCTCATTTTCTCCTTTTCACAGAGAAGGAAGCAGAGATAGAGAAAGGATCCTAAAATGGGACAAAATGTGGCAGCGAAGCACTGCTGGAGCCGCCTGGCTCCTGTGTCTGTGGGGTTCACCAGAACACTCAGGCCCCTAACACCCCCCACCATGTGCCAACAACCCCCTCAAGTTAAGTCCCAGCTCCCAGAAGGCCTGGCCCTTCCTCCATCCCTATCAGTCTCAACCACTGTCCTGGCTGCAGGACTCACATCCAGCCTTGGCCTTCCAGCACACGCCTCTCCCCACCCCTGCTGGCTCCCTGACACCCCCCAGCCCCCGCCCAGTGCCCTTTTCCCTCCCCCAGGCCCCACCTCACAGGCCTCCACTCTCACAGCCTGGCCTCTCCCAAACTGCTCACCTGAGCCACCTCCGTAGGCCCAGGGGCAGTGGTCCCCAGCGGTAGGGTGCTCTTCTCCGGGATGTCGGGCTCTCCGCTGGTAGCTGGTCTGGGAAGGGCCCTTGGCCTGGAGGTAGCTGTGCTCACCAGCTTGGGTGTTGGGGCCTCTGTGTCCAAGACGGCCACTGTGGTGGGAGGCGAGGGCGCTGCTGGGGTCGTGGCCCGGGCCGTGGCTGCAGTGGTCAGGGGCAGAGGCAGAAGCCGCCATGTGCCGGTGGTCCTTATGACAGAGGTGGTGGCCGTGGAGGGAGCTGCTGCAGGGACACTGGGGGCAGCAGTGGCCACGGTGGCGGGCACTGTGGCCATGGTCGGGGCTCCTGTGGTCGTGGCAGCAGTGGTAGCCGTGGGAATGGAGATGGTGGTGGCTCTCTGGCTTGGCTCTTCTTCAACCTCTGTCACCACTGGGGGGCTGGTGGCTGGCCCCGGGGTGGGGTTCTCAGATGGGAGCTCTTCAAACGGGGTGCCCACTGGCTGGATGTCCATGGTGGGCAGCACAGCGGGGGTGGTAGATACTGCCAGGGCCACGTCTGGGTTGAACCGCACGGCTGTTTCAATGCCTGACTCCTGCTCGAAGTCTAGAGGGGTGGGGGAGAGCAAAGAGCTGGAGAGTTGGGTGACCATGAGGGGCACGAGACCCAGGCCAGGAATGGCCACTGAGATTGGGGGACCCCACCCTTCGCTTGTTATACCATTTCCCCAGGACAAGATGAGGTCATCAGGTAGCTGATGGGTGGCGAGGGCTCCCCAACTCCTCTGACTCGCCAGGAGTCCCTAGGGCACCACCTCTTCCAGGAAGTCTTCCCTCACTATTCCAGCCAGTCGGCCTGCAGCGTATAGCAAGTTGAGCCCAGGCAGAAACTAAGACCCTACTGGCTGCAAATCTTGCTGGACCCTGGGATGGAAGAGGGCAGGCAGTGGCATCCAGGAAGATCAGAGCTGGGAGCATCTTCGCGTGATCCGCGACAGGAGGCCTGGCTCTCCTGGTGGCACAAGCGGAAGGCTGAGGGAGAAACAGCCCTTCTCGAGAGACTGGTTGAGCAGTTAGTGACTCAAAGCCTGGCCAAGTGACAAGGCTTGGGAAGAAACAAAAAGACAGCAAGAGAAGCAGCAGACCAAGCTTTCAGGGCCCAAAGGAGGCAGAGAAGGGGTGGGAAAGAGCTGGGGGATTTGGGAGTAGAGACCAGACCCATCCAAGGGAGATTTTACTCAGTGAACTGGGAAGAACAGAAGGTGAGATTTTAGAGGACACTAGCGGCCAGGGGCTGCAGGGGCCAGTTTCGTGGCATGAAGAACACCTCCCATTCCACCAGACCCACCCTGTCCCCTCACCGGGCAGATCTCGGCACAAACACCCCCTCTTCACAGCTCTCTCTCTGGGCCAGACCCTGACACCTATGCTGAAGCCCCCCAGCGGCGCTGAGAGGAAGGCGTCTTCACCACACTCACAGCTGCGAACAGACTCAGGGGAAGGGTTAAGGGGCTCCCCGGTAAAGCCAGATTCAAACTCTGCACGCACCCCTCCCTGATCTCACTTCTCCACCACTGCCCTCACCCTGCCACTGGCCACAGCTGAATGGGCCTCAGGGAGCCACCTGACCCCAACGGAGCCAAACTAATCAATCGTTTCTACCCAAGATTTGTCGCTAAACTGAGGTGTGACCACTAAGTTCCTCCCTCAAGGGGTGTGAACGGCGCTGAAGGTGGGTTACTTAGGGGCATCTGCGCCCCCCTCCTGGGCCGGGGGTCTGCAGGAAGGCCCAGGAGTACACAGACAGGGCACGGGAGCAGAGTCCCGGCGGAGCTCGGGACCTGGTTCCGTCCTGTTAGGCCCCGCCCTGCCCGACTTGCAGGCACGTCGGCCCCACCACCTGCATGGGTTTCTGCACCTGGCGGCCAAAGCCTCCGGTGGACGCTGGAAGCAGGTGGCTCTGGCCAGGGGAAGGGGAGGCACTTACAGCCCGAGCCCGACCCCGAGTACAGGTCGCCCAGCTCGTCATCGGGGAAGGAGTCGTCGTCTCCAGAGCCCTCCAGGTCCACGGGCCGCTCGAAGTTCTCGCTGCGCCAGCGCTGAGTCTGGGGAGGGCACATGAGCACAGGCTCAGCATCTGAGGCCCCCAGCCTGGGCAGCCCGAGGCACGACGGCCAAGACCACGCGGGAAGCGCATCGGTGCGGCCTTCGTGTCGCAGACAGGGCCGATCACACAGGGACTAGGCAGCAGCCCCATCTTCCTGGGGACCCTGGTCCCGTCTCCAGGCCCTGGTCAGAAGCGCTGGGTGGGAGAACCCGGCATAGAGCCAGATGCTGGATTTGAGTCCGGCTTCATCACTCATGAGAAGGTGCCCTGGGGCACCACCTAGACTCTCCAGGCCTCGGTTTACTCACGACTGTTCAGCCACCAAGCCCACACGGGGTGGCAGTGTAGGAACACACAGGCAGGGGGCACAGGCTGTGCACGCCCCGGTGTGGTCATCCACCCCAGGACAGAGAGAACTTGACATGGGGCAGGGAGGCGGGGGACAGACATCAGCCCAGGCCACCAGAGAGCACGTGCTACCCTGAAATGCAGACTGCCTGGGGCGCCGGAAGCCTCACACCTCAAAACCCAGGAGGGCAGTCAGACAGACCTGGGTGTTGGGGAGGTCTGGGGTTCTGGGAGGGGAGTTAACTTGGTTGAGAGAGGTGGGGGGAAGGAACAGAAGTGAGCAGGCTCCCCCCAAACAAGAAGTCAGGCCTCTCCCTCCCCACCTCCCAAAGGGCCCTGGAGTGAAGTATGAGGGTCTCAGACAGGTCAGGAGAGGGAGAGGGGCTTCTCCCAGCGCCCCTCTCTAGGCCCGAGCCCTTCTCAGCCAGAACCTGGGAGGGATGGGGGATGGGCTCTTGGGTTCAGACCGTCCCTCTCCACTGCACCCCTGGTGAGAACCCACACTGCCCCCCAAGAGGGCAGGCTGGCCCTGCTCCTCCTCTTGACTGTTTCCCAGCTGAGCCTGCCACTGTGCCGGCCCAAGGATTTCCTGGAGGAAGGCGAGCGCAAGGATTAGCCCTGGGCACTTAAACAACTGGAACAACAACTCCAACAGGGAACAGAGTAAGCAAAGGCGCCAGTGAGGAGGTGCAGCCTGGCTCTGGCGGCTCTCCCTGCCCCCAGCTCCCCCAGGGGCCTGGAGCCCCAACCCCTCAACCACAGGATTACAGCCGGCCATACCCCACCCAGCCTCTCCACCCTGCCCTGGGCACCCTTCTGTTTCTGGAATATTCTGACCTCCTAGCCGCTTTCATTCATGCTGTTCCCCAGGAGACTGCACCTTTCCATCCCTTCACCCTTCCATTTTCTGCCGACTCTCATGTCTTCGAGCACCCTGCAAGGCTCCTTAGATCATCCTGTTTCTGAATTCACATCCAGCGCCCCGGTGACCGCATGGGCTTGGCGCGCACGGCCCTGTGACTGGCCCTCCCCGCCCAACTCTGGAGGAAGGAGCCCCTGGCTCCCTCAGTGCTCAGGAAAAGCTCAGGGAAGAATGGAGCTGGAAGAGATGGGTAATTCCTGCAGCAGAGGCGGGGAGGCTGGGACGGGGCTGGGATGTTCCATCTGTGTCTGGCCGATGACTGTCTAGGAAACCGGTCATTTTCCACCCTGTGCATCAGAATACTGTACAAGCTGAGCTCAGCGGCTCAGCAGGCTTGAGGCAGAGAGTGAGACTCCGGGGCAGAGGGGTGTGGGCGGGAGAGGCTGGGCAGGCACAGCGACCTGCGCCCACTCGCCTCTACTCGGGCCCCTCTGGAGTTCAGAGGGAGTTGGAGAGAGGATTCCAATCCTGGCATCCCGCCTCCAGCTTCAACCACCTGCTCCAGGCCAGTCAGGGCGGGAGGCCAGGGCAGAGAGCCAGGAGAGCCACTCAGCCCCCAGCCCACCCTACACTGTCTCTCTCTCACACACACACACACACTCTCTCTGTCTCTCTGTCTCTCTCTCCAAGTAATGAATTAATCAGTATTTACTTGCTACCAGTGAGTCATGGAGAGGAACAATTAGTATAATTGCTCCTGTGGCTAATTGCTGGGTCTTCCTCCATTTTAGACATTCCCAAAGCTCAAAGCAGCTATGGTCCAACTTCCCCGGCCCCATCTGCCCAGGAGAACAAGTCCTCGAGTCCTGGAGCGAGAGAGCAAGAAGGTTCCCGGAATCCTGGCCTCCACATCTGGCCAGCCCGCGTCTGGCCAGACTCGAGCTCCCCCAGGGCCACACCACAGACGGGACGGCCAGGGCAGGGCCAGGCCCCCACTCCTGGGCGTCCTTGTCCAAGTCCCTGTCCTTCTAGGCACCACAAAGTAGTGGGAGACCTTGAGCTGGGTGGAGGGATTCAAAGAAGACTGTGATCTCTGGGGATCCCCAAACTGGGGTAAAACGGGGAGGGGGGCACAATAGGCAGCCCCCTCATGATTCCTCGGGGATCAGTGCTACTTCCAACCCCTAATACCCTGCCCCCCAAAAAGCCTGCATAAGCCAAAGACCCTTGCTCCCCCTCCCACCTCCAAAGCCACACAGACCCCTGAAATGACACAGAGAACAGAGAACAGACCCAGCACAAACACTCACCTAAAGGCAGCCACAGAGAGGCGTCATATGCCAGCATGCCTTTGGGTGCAAGATGCATTACGGGGGGGGCAGGTCCTGGGTGGGGTTATGCTGGGGGCGGGGCACATGCAGTGCAGCTCTGAGGTTCAGAAACAAGCAGGGCGCTTCCTGTGAACCCGCCGGCCTCCACTCAGGTAGCGCTCACCTAGATACTATTCATCCCTAGCTCAGTAGCCATTGACATGACAACCGTTACCATGACGACCGACTTCTCCATGCTAAGGACCAGGAGCTCCAGCTCCCCATAGAGATGGGGGGCAGGAGAGGGAGAGATCAGGGAAGAACAGAGGATGACAGGGAGGGGGAGGGCAGAGAACTGGGTGAAGCAGCAGGGCAGAGGGAAGACAGGGGTGCAGAGGGGCACCGGCGGGCACGGGGGAGGGGGTGCAGGGAGGACCTGGTGCGTGAGCAAGAGCAAGGGAGAGGAGGTGAGAGTGGGAGGCAAAGGGAGAGAATTCTCTCACATCTTAATTTAGCCTCACGCGCTTCAGACAAAGCTGGGGAAGGGGCCACCGGTGATTTTCCGAGCCTCGTCCAAGAGAACATTCTTCCCAAGCTGCCCTGAGATGTGTGGAGGGAGGGGTGACGATGAGCCTTCACCCCGAGCTCACCCTGGGGAGCTCAGTGGGCACTTCATGCCCAGACACCTCTGGCCTATGGGGGAGGAGCGGGGTGCAGTGGAGTGCCTCCCCACAGCCGCTAAGCACCCCTCTGTCACAGCTGGGGGAACCAGGACTCAGTGGGGTGCAGGCAGGATCTCTACAGGGGGCTGGTAGCCGCAGCTCCCAAGGGGACAGAGAGGACAGAGGTGGGGGCTGGGAGTGAGGCCCAGAGGCTGCAGGGAAGCCTCAGAAGTCACGGATGGCACTAAGAAGACAGAGACAGGAACAGCCTTTGACCCCCAAATGACCTGTCGTTTGCATAATCCATGCATAATTAGCATAATTATTCAACCCACTCCCTTAAAGGAGAGCTGAATCCAATCCTCCAGGACCGCTGGCTGGCCACCCCGACCCACAGCCGCCTCCACACACCCAACACACACACACACTGCGGCAGGCCACCCACCCGACGTGCTGTGCACGTCCTCAGCCTCAGCCTCATGCACACAGCAGCTCAGAGCGCACACCCACGCCCTCAAAGCCACCCCCAGCGCAGACATGCGCACAGGACGGCTGCCCCACCCACCGTCCCTCACCCAGCACCTCAGGCCTGGTCTCTCACACCCTCACTGAAGGTGTTCACACACAACAGTACCCCTCTTCTCAGAACACAGCCCACCGATAGCCTCTTAACATCTCCTGGCACGCGCGTCACCAGGACACACACACGTCCCCAACAAGCACGTGGGCTAAAGCACACACCGCTGCCCACATTCCCGAGAAGGCAGCCTCGGACCTCCACACCCTCCTGCCTTGTAACCCACCTTTTCTCAGGCCCCCCAGACTGAGGGTGGCGGCTGGGGGGAGATGTTCACTACCACAGACCTGAGCCCCTGCTCCCCACAACCACCACCAGGCACAGATACCCCAGAGGAGGCTCCTGGAGCAGCTGCAGGAGGGCAGAGCTCCCCAGGGGAGTTTGCTCGAGGCTCTCAGGGGTTCGGAGGCCCCTACCCGCCCCACCACAGAGGGCGCTGCCAGGTGCTGGACGCCAGCAACCTGCACCACAGATGTGGGTCTCCCTGCTCACAGGTGCGGGCACTGGGCTTAGAACTGCAATGCGAGTTTCGTGCTCCCACATTCTGGGCTCCCTACATACAAGCCGCTGTGACCCTCAGCCCCCGACAAGACCTCAGATCAGTTACCCAGTTGTGTCCCACACCACCCACACCAGCACCAACTGCTCCCAAATACCTGCTCCCGCTCCCCACGCCACCCACACAGCCCTGATTAGGCACAAGCGCCACATGCTGCACCCACCAGCAGGCCCCTAACACCTGCACCCCAACCCCCGGAACACAGCCGCACACTTATGACAGGCGGCGAGCTCAGACGCCGTCCCCATGGCCTGCCACAGCCCCTGCCACCATTCCCCAGCGCCCCCGCCAGCACCCCATCCTGAGCTTACCTGCAGTCTCACCCCAGAGAGACACCTGAGGCTCCCGGCCCTAAAGGGACTGGAGAACCCAGCAGTGACAAATGGTGCCCCTAATTTGCCACCTACCACCAGATCCTCTTGGGTCTAGAGCAGCGAGGTGGTCAAGGGTCTCATGGCACCTGATGTCAGGTAAGTGACATCGCTCACTCCAGATGCCGGCACCTCCCTGCAGCCCCCAGCTTCCTTCCTAGACCAGAAGCCAGGGTCTCTCGTGCCACCCCCATGTGAGCCCTCCCAGAGAAACAGGAAAGACACTCACAGGATGAATCAGCTCCTCCCCTCACTACTCATCAGACATCAGAGCCCAGGGAAACCTCAGTTTCCCCACCTGCAATGAGGGTGATGCTGTTAAATATCCAGTTAGGTGTTGCAATGGGCTGCTCACTGGACTCAACCCCAACAGCGGGGATAAATACATGCTCCTGTTAGCTATAAGTACTTCTACTATTATTTCTTAAGATTATCTCCTTTAAGCCTCGCCATCCTCATGAAGGAAGTAGCTTTGGGATGATTCCATTCATGTTGCACATGAGGCTGTTAATGCCCAGAGAGGTTAATCGGCCTTGCCAAGGCCACACAGCAGGGGAACGTGCAGAGACAAAGAGGTTGGATGAGGGGGAGAAAGGGCGAGTTGCAAAAACAGACACAGACACACAAATTAGGTCAGCTGGCGGGGGGCCAGGACCCAGCACCCCTGCACTGCCCTAACCACGCTGCAAAGGCTAAGAATAAAACCAAGTGTAATTAATTCTGCCCGAGCTTCCTTCCCCACACAGGCCAGACTCAAGTCCTCCTCGCCAGGAGGCCAGGGGCAGTGTGAGCAGGGCAGGGAGCCCGGCGTCAGGTCCGGCCGCGGGGTCAGGTCCAGCTCTACTGGCTTGCTGGGTGACACTAGGCAAGTTATTTACCCTCCCTGAGTCTCTGCCTAAGTGGGGACGGTAATGAGGTGTCCCAGAGCGCTGTGAGCATCTGTGAGCTAAGGCACAGAAGGCACCTGCTGCCCACAGCCAGCACTCACCGGCGCCCCTCGCTGAGGTGCATGCTTCCACCTCAGGGCTCACCGTAAGGTAAACTAACCTGAGAAATCACCACATTCAACTGCCCCTCCTTACAGATCAGGACACTGAGGCCCAGAGTGGGAAGAGACCTGCGATATCCCACCCTCTGAGGAGAGGAGCGAGAGATGGAGAATTAGCCTAACAGTAGCACTCAGAGAGGTTAAGTGATTTGTCCAAAGACACACAGCAACTTAATGAAGTTGCTCCTGGAAGTAGGGTAGTCTCGGTAGAACCCTGCAGGCACTGCCCTTGCAAGTCCCCAAAAAGCCTTCAGTGCTGTGAGAACTCAGTGCCCCTCACGCTCACCAGCTCCAACCCGGAGACCCGGAGCGTCACCACAGGAATGTGGGCCAGGGCCAGGCTCTGGGCAGCAGCACGGCCAAGTGGCCGCACAATGGAGCCTGGCCCAGGAAGGGGGCTGACTGGGTCGGTCAGTCTGGGTCTCCACCCCCTACCATCCACAGCTGCCCTGGCTGGGAACCCAGCCCCAGCCACATTCACTAGGAGGCTGCTGGGAGGGGGAGGGGTGTGAGCCCAGCACCTGCTGGGGAAGGGGCCAGAAGCACAAGCCCAAAAAGCAGGAGGCCTGGAGAGGAGCAGAGCAAGGACAGAGGAGGCCCAGCGGACCTCGGCAGTCCACCCCACAAAAAAATCAGCAAAGCCCAGACATACATTGTCACAGAGAGACCCTCCCACTGGCCCACACTTCTCTTCCACATCCAGCCCTCCCACCACCATACTCTAAACACCCACCTCCAGATCTTCCACAAGAGCCCCCCAAGGAGCTCTAAGGGGAGGAAACACCCCTTTGGGCCTGCCCACCTCGGCCAAACGCTCTGCCAATGATATCCTGGCATCAGAGCCCCAGGGCCCGCCTCTGAGCACCCCCACCTCCAGCCCCCTCCTCCACGGCCACTAGGCCCTATCCGCACCCGCCTGCCTTGACCCCAAGGAGTGTCCAGGCCCGGAGGCCCAGACAAGTCCCTCCTCCCTCTTCGCTGCTCCACGTGTGAAAGGAACAGTCGAGCTGACGCACGACGCGCTTTTCTGATTCTGACACTCCGGGCGTCCAAGAATTCAGCCCTCGGGTCAAAGAATGCCAAGGCATGGTCATTTATAAAAGGGGAAAGTGGAAATAACTGACATTCCCAGCTGCAGGGGCCTCGGGAGGGAGGCTCGGGCGGGCACCGGCGTCCCGTGGGCGAGCCGGCAGCTGGCAGCACCCGAGTCCTCACCGTCCACGGGGCCTTCAAAGGCAGCCACACCTAAGAGGAGCCCTTCACTTGTCTCAGCGCCAGGATATCTAAGGACATGGGGTGGGGGGACATGCGGGCTGGCTCTGGGTGGCTCTGAGCAGCCACTTAACTCCCTCACCTGGTTTTCCTGGGCAATAAAGATAATAATATCCACCACATGGGGTGCACAGGAAGAGACCCCACGCACCTACACATTAACAAATAGCTCAATAAAGGCTGGCTATTAATACTATTATCATTATGATTAAAAAATAGGTTCCCCCAAATTGAACTTGATCGCATTTTAATTAACTCGCTACCAGAGTGGATTTCTACACACTGAATTCCACTGAAGGTTCTCAGAGGCTCTCTCTGGGCAGTGTGATTAGAGGCGGCTTGTCGTTGTGTTGTTTTTTTTTCTCAGAGCCTTCCTGCATTTTCCAAATTTTCTATGATAAGCTTGGAGCATTTTTATTATTAGAAATAACACATTCTTTCTGAGTCCCCCTCTTGACATTCTCGTCTGTGAAACTCCCTGGCCCCTAATTCTGCTGAGACCCTACTGGGACTCCCAAGGAAACGGGCCAGCAGAAAGGAAATGAACACAAAAGCCTCAGAGGGAGGTGGCAAGGCCGGGCACCCAGCGCCTCACTGCAGACAGGCCTGCGTGGCAGACTCCCTCCTGGCACCGACCCCCAGACGCCTGGCTCGCCTGCCACTTTTCCACCAGCCCAGCTCCTGGCCGGCCTGTCCCAGTTGTGAGTGGGGGGAGGGCAAGCCAGTTACCCTACAGCTGCCCACCCTGTCACCTGCACAGGGATGAA